TGCTCTCCAGGAAATGGCCGGGTGTGTGTATCCTTGCTGATTACACATATAATAGCTCCAATGCAATGCTCTATATCAAGAAAGACTGCATTTCAAAGCTGTGTTTTCTAAAGGAAAAAGAAAGAGCACACTAGTTGAGCCTTTTGGAGAGAAGTAGGGCAGTTTGCTCTGCATTATACTTATCAAACTTTAACTTAGCCCTAATATTCAACATATATGCTGTAGAAAATTGTTTTAAGATACTCCATTGGGTTTAAAATAGGATTATTTTTATAGTTGCATCTTTCCCTCTCCGATAGATCTTTTTTCTTCTCTTCTGGAAAATAAAGGAGAAAATAATTGCCCATAAGCAAGTCACTCTTACTGTCCTCATGTCACATATAGAGACTCTCAGGCACAGGGCAGTCAGAAGTCGCCCGGGGTTCCACAGCTAGTCCGTGGAGGAACGGGGCCACGAGCCTGAGCAGTCTGGCTCCAGAACCCATGTTCTCACCCAGCCTCCAAGCTGGCTCAGGAAATGAAGATGTCTTCTTTCTGCAGCAAGGTGCAAGTATATTTTGGTTCTGTTCTCTAGGAGAAAAAAATACCTCCTTAAGCTGCTTTTCCAAGAAAGAGGAGGCCATGATGACATATTTGAGAGACAGTAAATGAACACTATTGAAGTAGAATAACATATAATAAAATTCATTAATTTTATGTGTACAGCTTTAAAAGAGTATAGTCAGCAGTTACCACCATCATAATCATGATATAGAATAATTTAATCACTCATTTCCCTTTTTTAAAAATTGATTTCAGACGTTAAAGCAAAGTTACTGCTTAACTACTATATATACACTTAAAAAATATTTTATTGATTTTTTACAGAGAGGAAGGGAGAGGGATAGAGAGTTAGAAACACTGATGAGAGAGAAACATCGATCAGCTGCCTCCTGCACACCCCCTACTGGGATGGAGCCCACAACCTGGGCATATGACTGGAATCGAACCAGGGACTCTTCAGTCCACAGGCCGATGCTTTATCCCCTGAGCCAAACTGGCTAGGGCTCACTCATGCTCCTTTATAGTCAATCCCTTCCTTCACTTCTGGCCCCTGGCAACTAGTGACTACTTTTTAAAAATAACCACATAAATAAGAAATTGCGTTCCCCATAGAGGGCAAGGCAGGGAGGGATTTGGACAGAGGAGCAGGAGGCTGGAGTCTGGGGAGTGACTGGGGAGTTGACTTGGGCGGTGGGTTGGTAAAAGGACATTAAGAATGCTGCTCTGGCCAGTTTTGCTCAGTGATCAGAGCACTGGCCTGTGGGCTGAAGGGTCAGGGTTCGATTCCCAGTCAAGGGCATGTATCTCGGTTGCAGGTTCAATCCACAGCCCAGTGTGGGAGGCAACCAATCAATGTGTTTCTGTCATGTCCATGTTTCTCTCTCTCTCTCTCCCTCCTCCCTCCCTTCTACTTTTTCTAAAAATCAATGGGAAAAATATCTTGGGGTGAGAGAAAGAAGAGGAGGAGGAGGAGGAGGGAAAGAATACCACCCCCCTGCCTAGTTACTTGTT